AACATAATATAATATAATATCATACAATATAATATAATATTAGTCTTATGATGAATATCAATTACAAATATATTCATACTGATACTAAACAAAAAGAAGCCGTCAACGCCGAGGCAAAGACTGGTCCCAAAGCACGCGCCGCCCCAGAATGACGGCAAGCCTCGGGGGAATCTCAGCATTGGCAGGTCGGGGAACACATTCCCTGAAATCTCGCTGACTCAAGATAGACGTTCCGATGCCCTTCTTTGTGACACGCTCCACCATGCTGTCTGCGTCTGGTGAAACAAGCAATCTCAGCCAATTGTCGGCGAGCATGCATTAACATTTCAGAGGAATTTGGCCTGCGAGCCCTGCGCAGGTCCTCAATGGGAAGCCTCTGCCTGGGCGACTTGGTGCTCCACGTACCTGCAGGGGTCGGGCAGAATCTCACAATTAGTGGGCCTCTGGCTCTATGAATGGACTCGCCTTTGGTAGAGTTGCTCGGCCGAGAGGTGTTGAAGGTTTTGTTGGGAGGCCGCGAACTCCGCGATTTCCCGGATCTGAGCATCGTCCCAGCCCCGCTCAGCGCCGTTCCCAATAGGAATGGTGTCCAACCACTGCCGGATCTTCCCCTCAGCCTCCTGGCGCAGGTCGCTAGTCTTCGACATCAGTCTTATCCCTCCTAGTTTTCGGTGCTTCGTGAAGGCTTAGTGTTTGATGTCTTTCCAAATGCTATAAGAACGTCGCCATCTTGCCCCACCTGAACGGGAAGCTTCGGCGGGAGCTGCACCGTCCCAGCGTACTGGAAAGGGGCTGGAGCTGCAGGAGTGCGATTCAGTGAGGGACTGCGGCTGGAGACCGGCATCAGCGGTGGAGGCGCTGGGGAGAAGCGCCCTTCCCAGCTCTGGCCCAGGGGAGTACCGGCGAACATCGACAAGTTCGTGCGCGGCGTCGAGCCACCTGCGGGGTCTCCACTGTTTGCCACGACATATGCAGTGCCCTCACCCCTGCCTGGAGTCTTCATTCCATTCAAGTGTCTGTTGGCATTGATCGCCAGAGACTCCGCTGTAGGTGTGCTGAAGCCCGGCGTCATCAAGCTCGTGATGGGCAAGAAGAGGCCGGGGGGAGGCGTCAAACCCCCCGCAGGTGGACTGGCGAAGGAGGGTGTTTGTGAGCTCACAGTTGAGCCTTAGAATCTCAGGGCCAGCTCAAAATTATGAACGGCCGCGATCATTTGTTTTAGGCAAAGAACCAAAACACAGCAGCCACTACTTTGCTGAGAGATGTTCTTGATTCCTGTTTATCAGGGATGGTCCTGGTGGTGTCGATTCTGTTCCGAATGTGCGTCAGCAGCAGCCTCATCGGCCCTATCTGCCTAACTGTCTAACTAACATCTGCGACAATCTACAAGCCTGGACTAGGTAATTCGGGTCGGGAGCCAGGGGTGCGTATCCGCGATGTAGTCACGGGCGTTGTGGAACGTGATGGCTGTGATGGGTGTCTCACGACTGCACATCCAGCGGCCGGTTTGGCCTGAACCACCGAAGGCGGTGTCACATGCATGTGAGCGGTTTGTGTCTTGGTGCCACTTGGGCTGCGGTTGCGGGCCGCATCAAGAAGAGATTTTGCAACCGCCTTGACTGAAGCCTCTGCCGCCGCCTCGGCCGAGAGCGTGGAAGCCCTGCCTGGTGGTGCCACTCGCGCAGGTGGGCTGAAGACGCCAGCGCCACGCGTGCGAAGGTCATCCAATAGCTTCTCCAGCTGTCCAAGGCGCTCCGTCAGATCCACCAGCTTCTCACCAAGGGACTGGGGCGCTCGGCTGGAGAGAGGAGGGCGACGCGTACCCAACAAAGCCTCTGCCTTGGCGGACACTGAGTTCACCTTCTCCAGCAAAGCCTGACCAATGGGCCCTGATGAGGTGATGGCTGCTGACACGCCGGTGTCTCGGGTGTCCACACTCGTTGCGCTGCGATGGCTGGTGCTAACCTGGTTAGACGGTGCCGCTCTTCCAAGGCTTCTCCTTGGAAGGTGCAACGGATGGGCTTCCGCCACCCCCAGCGCTGTAAAGCGAGCAGCCGGGAGTGTTGCTCGCATCGATCCCGCGAACGGAGCTTCACACTTTGCAGATGTCACTTCATGCAGGACATTCGTGGGTACGTTGTGTTGAAGTGCATGATGGTGGTTTTTACATGATTCAACGATGGCTCGGCTTCCATGGAAAGCTGTGGGCAAGCAGAACAAATCCAGCACCCGTGCTCACATCATTGCAAGGGGGAACACTGCAACTTGCACAGGCACATCGCATACTCCGGCCCAGGCAGTGTGGATATCAGCGTGATGCCTGCAAGTGGATCACCTGCCATTGATCCCAACACATGCTATCATGAGCCTGGCGCATCTGTTAGTCTCTTTACCGGGCAAAGAGCCCAACGACCCTCTATACTTGCGCAGGATCTGTTTGGACAATCTCGCCTGCTGTTAGTAAGTTTTGAGCCGGAAGCCTGCTCTTGTTCGCTCCGGATAATCTGGCTCACGTAGTGCAAGGCGCTTCTGAGTGTATCGGGGTGTTGCATCGAACTGACAGCATCGAGCTGTCCTGCGGAAAGCGAAACACTAGATAGTTCGCTAAGCGGGCGGTGACACTGGCCTGGGCCAACTTGGTGAACGAGCCCTGCAAGGCCTTGGGCGCTATGTGGCTGATGGATTTAGGCTTAGCGGCTTCATTGGAGCCAGGATCCCGACCGTGCTCCTGGGTCAGGGACAACAGCTCGGAGCCTGCAAAGCTGCTACAAGCGTCGCTGCTTCTGCCACTTCGTTAGCACATGTTAGCACCAGCACCACCGCGACAACAAGGGATTGGAAGACACGGAGTCTGGGCTCGCTGCGTTGCATCGCAGGTGCCGCAGATGTCGTCGATGATTCCGTCCCATTCCGCTTCCGACCACCTAAGTCAGCGGGTCACTGCGCGACGAATACTTCACCTTCAAGAGCAAGCGATGCAGCAAAGTATCAAAGGCCAGTGCCAGAAAGCACCAACGCGGTGGCTGTCAGCAAGGCTCCCAGAGCAAGCATCACTGGGGGAGCCTATCAGGGCCGATGCATATTCACACACTCCAGCTGCCTATCAGCATCTTGTCTTAGCATCGGGTTCGTCTGTTGTCCTGCGCCCCCCCCCCCCTGCGACCTAAACCTAGCTGACGAGGCCTGCTCAAGCGGCTCGAGCGACAGCGGCTGGGCCTCGAATCTCGAAGTTGAATTCTGCGATTACCGTTGGAGTCAGATGAGAGGCGATGGGGGCTTGTCATGTCCACTGCAACTCGCAATTTGCAGCCTCCCTTGTCTTGTTACTTGTTACCATGACTGGCCACCAGTATTACTGAAAGTGTTGCTGTTGGCATGTGTATTGCTGGCGCCCTCCCCGGCAGTTAAGGCGCAAGCGTTGCCGGACACGTGCCGCCGGCCCATTGGGGCCGGGAGGGAATTGGCCGCCTCCACAGATTGGGACAGCCGAAACTTATTGCGAGCATTGCCCAAAAGCCTTGATAAACCGATCAGATCTATCAGGATCTAAGGAAACATAGCCCTTCCACCAACTTCAGCTTAAACTGCTTGGCTCCTGTGGTCGTTTCATTCCCGGCATCGTCGCCTCAAGTGCAAAGCATTCGGGGAAAACTGCTTTGCAACGCAATGCATGGAGCACTCCGAGCTTGAAGCCACCATGTTCGCAAAGTTGTACAGGTTGTGCATTCCTACCACGAAACCGTCGACCTCAGCTTCGGGAGGAGAGACTATGCTGGCCATCTTGGTCACCAGGAGGATTGAGATTTGCCGATTCTGCCTTGAGAATGTCAGGGCCCATGCCAAACCTCCGTGCTCCACATGGCAAGCCGCTTCCAGCCGTGGGAGGCAGAGCGGCGCCAGACCCTCCGGCTCAGCGTCGAGGCCGCTCACTCCTCGCCGAAAGCTATACATTATATAGTATAATATAATGCCTTTTTGTATTATATTACAATACGGTATAATAAAATATGGTACCCAACCACCCTCGATGTAGGCAGAATTTGTCAATCCATGGCGGCGTCCTTTTAGCAGGAGTGGTGGCAAGGAGATGTGTGCTCGAAGTGCAGCGAGGTCATAGCCGCTTCGAACCTTAGCCAGCCAAACTTCGGCAAAGCAGACGATGTGCAAATTATATTTTGCTATACCATATTATGTTATACCGTATTATAAATAACATAAAATATCTTACAATTTGAAACAATCCAACAATACAGTAAAATACAATAAAATAAAATAGAACAAAATAATACAGTATAATGCAGTACAAATATCATATCATATCATATCATATCGTATCATCTCATATAATGTAATATAACATAACATAACATAATGTAACAGAATACAATATAATATAATATAATATAGTATAATATAATATAGTATAATGAGCTGCATGCACAGTCCCGGGCCAGCACAGCGAGGTAGGCCAAAGCGGACTGCTGGGATCCTGCGCCCAAAACTGCAAGGAACTTGCGTGCGATCAGAACCTCCTGGGGCGGTGTGCCTGCGTGGGGCCATCTCATCTTTGGGGCAGGTGCCATGCACCAGCGCAAGAATTCCACAAGTGGCCCCTCCTGCAAAGTCAGCAGCGACAGAAATCCATGTCGCACATGATCTCTCGGCTGTAGCAAATCATGTGGACCAGCCTGCCCACTTGCCAGTCGCAAAGGCAAGTTCAGCCGCACATACGCCGCCTCCTCGCCTCAGTTTCAATCAGAATGGAACGATATGTGCCATCTGCCACCGGCAGCAGCTGAGGAAATGACGAATTGTGGGAGACTTCGTTGCGTTGCTGCCCCTGGGATCAGCTGCAGGCTCAATCAGGGCTCATCTGGCAGAGACCCACCCTGGGCCGCACACTTTGAGAAGCCTGCGCTCAAGACCTCTTCAATTGGAGAGACCCTGGTCACGGCGCAGCAGTCAAACAACATGCTGCTGGGGAGGAGATTCCACCACATGCCACTTCTCCTCCCAAAGCTCGTGTCGTTCTGGCGGAGCTCGTGGTCAATCACGGTTCCACAGTTGAAGCTGGCAAAGATGTCCCAGGGACCTAGGCCAAGCCACTTTAACAATGCGAAGCACAAGAATCCAAGAAGTCATCTCGGAGATCGAGCTTAGGGACGTACTGTGTGAAGCACACATAGGCACGGTCTTTACCTGCCCCCAGCAGCAGAGGGAACCGTCGAACTCGAGCACCGAGCACCACCTCGGGCCGAAAAGCAGTCACGACACAACTCTCTCACACCTGACAGGCTCATCGAAAACAAGCTACCTCAACAACAGGCTCAGGCTCCCGCTCGGCAGGACCCGTGCCACCTTGTCCTTCACCAAACTTCTAATAACTTCTAGCTGAGAACTAGAAGCACTTGAACCCGTGCGCGGCCTGCATCAGGACCGTCAGCACGGCGGCCAGGAGAACTGGAAGCGAAAGCCTCCTGAAGTCTCCACACGGCCCCCTCCCTCCCCTGAAACCCGGGTGCAAAGCTTAGCAAGTCCGAATCCCGCCTCGGTCCGTCCGAGCAGCAAAGCCAGGGGACGGTCATTCTGCTTCGCACGCGGCACTTCCATGGTGGCGAAGACGCCTCCATGCAGCACACAGAAATGTGAAAAACATGGAATGCCCGTGCTGCTCTTCCCGTGCTGCTTTACTCGCTCGATGCGATGCGAAAATTAATAAAGAAACGAAGTACGCAAGGAATCAAGACCCGCACTGTTGTCTGTGATGCTGTCAACCAGCAGTAGTCGTATGGGCTGCCGTGAGTCCACCGCAACCTGTCTTGCGGGCACATGTAGTGAAATAGAAAACAACATGGAGGCGTCCACAAGCTCAGCCCCACATCATAAGTTTCGTGCAGCCCAGCTATCTGGTTGTCTGGATGTAGCAGCTGTGCCTGCAGCATGCCGCGACGAACTCACTGCACCAAGCTCAGCACGAATCCACGACTCTCGAAAGTCGAAAACGGCTCGTCAAGTTATCAATTCTCAAATGCAGGCCGGCGACTTAGACTACAAACCCACCACAAGCCATCGGGAGCGACGATGTCGATCCGGACCCTGGCAGCCGCATCTTCTTCGCTTGGAGAAACGAACTACTTAGGGCTGCTGTGCTCCCGGCTTCAAGTTGGAAGGAGGCGGTGGCAAACCGCCTGGCAAAGTGCAAGCGTACATGCACACTCAAGCTTCCAACAGATTGAGTCTTCCAGGAACCGAGCGGAAGATGTTAGTTCCAAATCCATGCCTCAGGCAGCCGTCTTAGCAACATACGACTCCGAAAGACTCACTCTCCCGAGCATCAAGCTGCCCGTGCAAGTGGAGCTGCTCCATTGGCGTCAGCTCCCGCACCTGCTCTCGCCCCTCTACAGGACAATTCGACGATTCCCTACTCAGCGGCAAGGCGTTGCGTGGCCTGCCAGGACAAGTTCGACCTGCCATCTCAGGCGCACTCCTTGATACTGTGAGTCGCTCCTCAAGCGAACGAGCCTGGGACTTCTCGCAGGCATTGTGCCTGGCTGCACCAAGCGCGCTCTCGGCAGCTTTGGGGCTTCAGCGGCCGCGACTGAGGGCCTTCTTCTGCGTAGCAGTTGATGGATGTCTCGGTCTTCATCTCGGTCTGTGCCATCAGCCTCAGGAAGTTGCATGCCATAATGAAAGAGAAACCGCTTTCAGGCCACAGCAACTCACCGAGCGCGATGCCGAAAGTTTACGAGCTTGTCAGCAGGATAGGACAACTCAATCAGTCCGAGTGTTGTTGCATCCTGCAGGGCGTAGGTGCAGACATACTCCACTGTCCTGGAGAGTCTTGGGCATGTGAGTTCATCCTCTGCTGTCAGAGCCGGCAAGGATCGACGCCAGGCAAAAGAACTCTGAGGACCGTTGAACTTCTTCTTGTACAACCGAATATACTCCTCGAGACAAAAGTTGGCGCCAAGAACCTCTGCAAAAGAATGGACCAGTCGGACCAATGTTCAAACTACGGGTTGTCCTTGCAGTTGATTCGCATTCGAACTGCATCTTGCAGTGCGTAGGCATTCCTGACGACCAACACGATGCAAGCGGCTCACATCACCAGCAAAACTGAACTCCTGGCAGTCGGAGCATGCACATCTGAATGCCAATGTGAATCTTGCAGCCACGGATCGACTGGATCCGCCGCTTCAGGGCAACAAAGCTGCGAATTACATGCCTTCGAGTGTGAAGTTGCCAGTCATGTTTCGTAGCTGGCGCTGTGCTACTCAACTCTTGCAGTCAGCATGCCATCTGCCACGCCCAGTAGCAGGCTTGCCGTGCCTGGGTTGCGAAACGTTCTCAGAACTCAATGTCCTCAACTTCCTATGACTCTTAATTCTGAGCTTTCTACAGCGCATGCAGGAAGGGCCACATCTGGAAGTCCAGAGTCCTTCGGACCTCAAGTTGAAAACAAGTTGAGGGCAACTTGCCCAAATCGCCCGCAAGCCGGCACAACGTAAGATCCCAGCAAGCCAGCGGATGCCTTCGACAATGCTGGCCTGGGCAAGAGGTCCATCAACACCAACATGGATCATACACTTGGGAAGGGGAGGGAGTGAGAGGTTATTGCTTTGCGAAGCTGGGCCCCACGCTGTGAAACGAAGACGAGAAAGATTCTGCAAGCAAAGGGCAACCTGCGGGAGCAGCAGGTTTTACACCTTCATAAGAATGATGTGCTGGTGCCTCCAACGCCAAGCAGTTTTCCACATGACAGTCTGTGAACAAAGCCTGGGACCTCAAGTATGCAGCAAACCAATAGCACAAGCTTGATCCGCGACATTGGACTCGAGTGTGCGCGAAACATTGCGTAACCTAAGTTTAGGCGTTGGCTTCAAATCCACCTTGATGGACATGTCCGTGGACGGCATGAGCCTTCATTGTAGCTTGGATGCGTGAGATGTAGGCGAACCCCCATGCGCTGAGGCTCATCCGACAACTGAGCTCTCGGCTGCTGACAGGCTGGGAATGCTAAATGAGCATCCCGGGTTTGGTTCAAGCCGCGGACAAACCTCGGCGCCGCTGCTTCGTCGACAGCTGACGGTGCACATATTACATGTCCAGGCCCTTTGCTCAACTTGCGACAGCTTCTGGAAGATACCAAATTCACCTGGCCACAAATCGGGTCCACATCTGCTTCAGCATGAGGCATTGCTCCACCAAGGCCCTCACTCGATCTTGTTGAATGGTAAACATCCCACGGGACATGCACCTTCGATGTGCCTGCAGGGATCGCTCAAGACTCAAGAGTGCAGCTTTCTGCAACCAGAAAGCCACTGGCCTGCAAATTCCTGGTACAACTGCAAACCTCGTAGATGAACGCTCTCGGCAAGGAGAAGCTCAGACTTGCGAGCATCCTGCCGATCATCGACAGAGGTCGGACGCAATAGACACAGTCGCAGCAGGGCTTTAGTTTGTTGCTTGCATTCACTGTCCTCGCCACTTTGGCTTTCTGTAACGACCTGAAGCTCAGTCTTGTTTGTTGCAGGCTTGCCAGCACTGCACGCAATCACTGAGTTCTGGGCAGGTTTCACATCACAAGCAGCGATCAACACTCCAAGGGCCAGTGGGGGGCCTGACAGAATGTGCAGGTCCATTTTTGGGCCGCCCTCCCCCCCCCCCTCGCCCCACCGTTCGTAAGAAAACCATCCCGACAGAAAACTGAATCAATGGCACTGAAAAGTAACAACAATGCCAATACGCAGCACGAACCACATTGCCACGAAAGCCTCAGCCATGTCACCAGTGTGACAGGATGTATCTACAACAAGCGCAAAGTCCAAAGTCCGATCCGGAAATTTGTGTCAATCGGGCTACATGCGCCTGCCTGAAAACTAAAGCCGAAGCCAACATCTCCGGTTCAGGGTTGTCATGCAGCTCGCCTTCGATCTCCAGTCTCACATGCACATTTTTCACCTGTCAACACCAAATGGCTGCGGAGATTCATCGGGCAGCTTGCAAACTCTCGAACCGCCGAGGGCTGCACAGTGACTCGTATTCGGGACAGGTAATCTACGAACAACTTGCGAAACCTGGCACAGACTGGGCCTGGTCTTTTTGCCAGGCACATCAAGGCACGTGCAAAACAAGGCAGCTGCACATTTCGCGCTCCAAGCTTCGCCGCTGTGTCTGGCTCCGCATGTGCACAAACCTGGGGCAACAACATTGTAAAAGCTGTCGGTCCCAGCAACAGCCCATCCGCAGGTTCCCACATCTCAGATTCGTGCTCTAGACGCTCCATCTCGTTGGTGCGGTGCTGGTACACCTGGCATGCACGCAACATGCCGGCTTGGCGGTGTGCGACACAGCGGCCGTCTAAAGGCTGTCTGTGCCTCTTCTCGGCTAAGCCATCTGCAGGCCGGAGCCAAGACTAAGTCGAGCCTGTGAAAACATGGGGATGCTTCGCATCAGCGAGGCCATGCGAAATGTGAGAGCCAAGGCCATTGCCCATCGATGATAATCTCCAGCTCGCCCTGCATGATGGACCTTGCACCGGAGGTGTGCCTTGAAAATACCTTGCGATTCAGCTCTGGCGACTGCAGCCAGGTGGCAGCTGAAGCATGGCTGAGGAAAGCGTGCCAGCCTGACAAAGTCTGTTCGCCCGCTCAGCCAGCAAAACCCTGATAGAAACCTTATAGAATCCTTTGTAGATCCCTTTAAGGAACCCTAAACCCCAAAAGCCCCCCAACAAAAACGGAGACCCAAGCCTTGAGAACAAAAGGCAGGTCGCTTCCGAGCAACAAGTCATCGACGGGCTCGGGGTTAAGCGCCTGGGCTGGGGTGACACTCTCACGTTCCTTCCGGCCTGGAGTCTTCACCAAAGTACCCTCTCTTCAGTTCGGGGCCAAATTCCGAAGCTCTAGGAAGCCGCTCAAAAGGCCTGAAGACGTAGGAAAGCATGGCCGCAGGTGCGATGCGATAGCTCTTCCCCGAGCCTAGGTTCAGGTGCTCCGCGTTGAAACCATGAATAAACTTCTTTGCCTGCCCTTGTAGCAGGTCGGCCTCGATGGGACGTGACATTCGCTGGGTGCGCTCCAGACGTTCCCATCTGAGGCGAGCACGAGTCGACTCTCCAGAACCATCGTGGGCCTAGGGTCAAAACTCTGCGGCTTCCTGTTCTTTGCTCTCTGTGATCTCTGCTGCCGTCACAAACTCAGGCTGGTACCTACTGCCCACTCCGGGGGGAAGGGGAAGCCAACCTAGGAGCGCATCTCGTGCCACGCTGCTCCGGCGAGAATCGAATCGGCAGTGACCCGATCTGAGCGCCAGCGCCAGGTCTTCCCGACCTCTGGTCCCCCCGAGACTTGAGCCGATCTGAGGAAGGGTTGCGACGTGATAAGCTAAAGCTGGTGTCAGCCTGCGGCCTACTCCAAGTATGTCCAGCTTCGCACACTACGACTGTGACTCTCGGCTCGCTCGCATCCTTTCTTCGCATGCATTGCCAGAGGCTCTATCGCCCGGTGATGGGTCAACGCAAACTTGCGGTGAGACATGACCAGAGAGAAGGAAGAGAGAGAGAGAGAGAGAGAGAGAGAGAGACAGGGGGGAGAGAGAAAGCTAGAAACGGCAGGAACCTGTCAATTGTTCACTGGCGGGTTTCTGGTGTCGAATGTGAAGATAGTCCTGACCAGGTACAGTGAGTTCCTGACTGCAGAGGCACATTTCAGGTGCAGTTGCAACCTGCTGCCCAGTCTGAGCTCTGCATCGGCCTCAGCTGACGTGAAGCGAGTCGAAGCCAAACAAACGTCGCCACAGCAAGCCATAAACTTGTGAGAGCATTCTAAACTTCGAGGCTGCTGCCCAATCAGAAGCACCTGCCTTTCGGAGCATGTCCGCAATCTGCGCCGACCAGGGGTTTACAGCACTTTTTGATAGTTGGCGGGAATGGTGCAATCGCTCCAGCGAGGCCTCCCGAGCCCCAAGAGCTGTTGCTAGAGCGAGGGCACAGGTGCCATCTGGAGCCTGACACACAGGCGCAAGCGACAGCAGCACTTGCAATCACTTGCAACACCACGACTTCATGGCCTTGCAGTCCACATCGGGGGTTGGCCATGCAGACTTGAGCATCAAGCGAACCTGGTCGTACACTACATCTTTGTTCCTGTCTCCGAACATCCGCCATTGTTCAAGCTCGTGTCTGCCACAATCCCAGTGGCCAAGTCCGTCCGCTTGGTCTGGATGGCGAGGATGAAGGGTGTAACTTGACGGCCGATGTCTCGGTGGTTCACATCGGCACCACCTCCCACCGAATCTCCCCAATCACATCCCAGGCTGGGAAATTTTGTGGCCGTCGTGCCTCGAAGTAGCGCGGAGACGCATGCAGCACAGCCACCACCGGGTGCTGTCCTGGGCGCAGGGAATCCCAAACCTTTCGGAAGCAGCAAAGGCAGGCCGACGCTTCCAAGGCCGTTGCAGGAGATGGTGGTGCAAAGCTGTCAAGCCCTTTAAATCCTAAAGCAAGGCTTCAAACTCTGTCCTCGTGTGCATTCCGGAATTCGGTAGCAGTAGCGCCTCTGAGCAGGGATCTGCCCCGACTGCAAGAAGTGCAGAGACATCATGGGCTGGGTCGTTCTTGACCTGGACGGCACAAGAAGCGGTCAATAGCTTCGCATGCAGCCGTCATCTGCCGCAGTGACACCTTTAGGAAGGAAGTCCATGCGACATCGAGATGCGACCACACGAGATCCGAGGCCTCGTCCTCAAACTTCCAAAGGCGGGGATATCCCTTTCAAAGAAAGAGTGCTCCTCTGTCGTTGCCACATTGCTTGGAATGGCAGACGCGCATCCAGGACCGTGCATCGTGATGTGGAAACACCTGCAAGAAATCTGTTAAGCTGGCTCAGGTATCCACTTGGCATAGGCGTAGCCGTCAAAGCTAAGTGTCGTGCTCCTCAGACCATTCCGCCCCAGGAACCAGCTCGTGGACAGAGAAGCCCACGCAATCACAACTCTCTGCTGCCACCTGGAACAACGTTCGCCCAAATCTTCTCACGTCTTCTCCCATGGCTCGTGTGCCTTCGCAGCCTCAATCGTCATGAAGCCGCCGCAGCCCCTGGGATCCGGCGTGATGTCTGTTCTTTGGCAGAAACTTCACGCAGGGCCGAGGGCTGCGCTTGAGCTCGGGGCCAGCCAAGCGGTGAGAGTCTTGCTTTTGCCACGAAAGGACCTCGCTTGCGAGCGATTAGCGCACCCCGCCCGAATCTTAGCACGAGGAGTTCGCTTGACAAGACATGCCTGCAAACCGTCTCTCGTCCCCCGAGGCTCCACTGTTCGTGGATCAGCCGAGTGCAGAGTATCGGCATTGCGTAATTGTCAGCGGCGGGTTTAGTGCCGATCTGAGCGGCCGGCGCAGGCATCTGCTGGACTGGAGAAGTCTCTCCTGACCTGTACAGTAGGAGCTGATGTTTCCGCACACAGCTAAAACAACTCGCTGCGAAATGGAATTCGTGAGCAGAAGCATGCCAATCGTGACGGATTTCGGAGCTGGCAAGTCTCCGAGCAGTCTTGAGCATTCGGCCAACTTCACAAGTGGATCGTGCCCACGCTTGTCCTGGAGTCGCGGATTGGCGCCTGAATCTCAAGCGTCTCCCTCTAGAGCTGGAGCTTGCACTCGAGCGCGGAAGCTTGAGACTCCAGCGCCGTTCTAGCAGAAGCTTGACCTGATCTGCAACATTCACCGGCTCACCGGGCCGAAAGATATCTAACCCACTGTACAGATCTTGTTGCGGCCAGGCGTCAACGCGGAACGTCCGGCTATGGCAGGCCCAGTGTAGGGAGGAAGTACCGTCCGAGCCTAGCCGGAGACATCCGGAGAGACGGCAGCATCGACAGCCCCGTCCCCAAAGCTTTGCCGGAGATGCTGCAGCGCGCATCGACGTCGGCACCGCGATCCAGAAGCAGCTCGCACATGGCAATGTCTCCGGCCTTGTGACAGCAAAGAGCGCTTCGCAGCCTGTTCAAGTTCGAATTCCACCGGCCAAAACCTTGACAGCCATCACCAAAGGCGGAATGCCCGTATCCGGGTCGGTGATAGAAGGATTTGCCTCACCAGGAGCACCATCTGTTCCAACCGTCTTGAAGCGCATCTGTCCCTACCTTCTCTCTGTCCAGCAGCCACTTGGCAAGCTCGATCTCAGTGAGAATAAACAGCGCACCGAAAAGCAGTTAAGCAGTTGCAGTCAGAGACGGCCCATGTCGCATTGCTCATACCGCACTCCTCTGGGCAAACCCACGTCACCATCCTTCACCGCCTGGTGGAATTCCTTGCAGGTGGTCTGGAGGCTTCTCAAGGTCGTTCGCAGCACCTTCGATGCTTCCACTGCAGCAGAAGAACTCCCCCGCCGTCCGGCCCTCCCGCCTCCTTCTCAGCGAGGGCGCAGAGGTCGCGCAAGTCTCCGCAATCCTCACGCAAACTACAGCACCAGGACGTCACAGTTGCATTCAGAAGAGGGTGCATCTTCGGTCCTCCAGTTCGCAGACCTCCATGGCCTCATCAGCAATGAGCAGGGACTCGCGCACAGCATCACCTGCATTCGCCGTCGAATGTCACTCGGCAGGCGAATGGCGACATGGAGCCACATTTTGGAAGCCTCTGCTCACTTCTGTCACCAACGCCGCCTGCCCAACACAGAAAAGCACCGAACCGGGTTGGCTGAAACCGAATGACGCAACATCATGTCGCCATGCTCGAGCTGACAGCCAAGCACCTCCAGGCACCGACGGACTGCCATAAACAGAAGAGCCTGTGAACCAATTCGTTGGCAGGGGAGCACTCCTCGCACACCTGATTGGAGCCTCACCTCTGCTTTTCGCCGAAGCTTACTGTCCGCACCTGGTATACATCACAGGTGTGCAGGAACCCACTGCACAAGAACACAGGGCTCATCAGGGCTCTGACCACAAATCCTCGCATCTTGCAAGGTTTGCAGCAGTGGATCGAGAATAGGCCTTGCTCACGTGTCTATGCGGCTTCGCCGGAAGATCGGAAGATTCGAGACCACAACGCACCCATGTCCCAGGGACGCGAGGAGCGCGTGTACTCCTCGCCGAACATGACAGATCATGTCAAATAGTCGCAAGGGGGATCACAGTGGAGTTTCCCTAATGTCATCTGGAAAGTCCTTGCTGACATCCATGGTGTCCCAATATCTTGCCGCACCCGGAGGCCTTCATGCTTGAACGTGCTGCAGTGCCACATCATCACGACCACGACAGGTCACCAAACCGAAGCCCTGCCGTTTCTGAATCTGGGCTGTGCGCACTTGCGATGAAGCCGTGCCATCCCCCTGAGCTCTTGCAGATTCGAACTGCGCCCCGTGCACGGCCCGAACACAAGCTGGGGGCAGCAACCGGTCCCAAAGCTGCCAAAGCAATAACCCACTGAAGTTTCTCCTGCAGCGTCCGTTCGGTGGACAAAGAGGGCGGGAAAAAAAATCCTTGTGGCCTTGGAGGCTCTCCGGGCTCGGGTGAGCAAATTCAGGCCCTCGGCTTCCACTCCTGAGCCGAAGAGCTTCGAGCTGAGAGCTGAAGGAGTGAGATGAGTCAGCTGAAAGCCGGGGACTTCGGACTCGCTGCTGGCAGTGAGGAGTCGTGAAAACAGGACCGGGATCCTTCGCAAAATCGCAAACAAAAAGCCACTGGCCCAGCCCTGGCTCAGCTTCAGTTTGAGCTTCCCGGCCCTCTCGCCGCGAGCTTTGAAGCGCGCTCGTGCCCGGTCACCTCGATCGGCAAGCTTTGCGTTCGCATCTCGCGTACAGCCCATGTCAAACGACCGAGTAGACAACGGCGATCGTACTGGAATCCATCATGTTCGTTTTGATGGCTGAGCTTCCAGCGCTCGACATAGACGTTCTCCAGCGCAAGCCGATACTCCTTGGCCAGACCCAACCACCCAACCATTGTCGTGACCTCACCACTCAAGGCGCCTTTACTGCAGACGCTTCAAGAGCAGCTTCCACCCTCACCTTGGTGCAGCAAAACATGTCTCCTACACAGCGCCACGAGTGCCCACAATCTAAGTCACCCACCAGGGCTAAGTTCATTGGACACTCAGGCGGATGCTCTCCACCGTCTGGCACATGAATCTGAGGAATTCCCGTCGAAAAACAGCAATGCAACAAGTACATCGAAGGTGGCTTGGGCGACCGTCAATTTCATGTCCAAACAGTCGGTCACCACAGCCATATGGACAAATCTCCTCCCCTTAGGGCCCGTGGGCTTGGGAAATGAAGCAGCTTTCACAGCATCCTCATTCTGTGCACTCAGCCCGGTGTGCTCAATCATCCGCAGAGGGCAAGGCTGAAGACTAGCTGGCGAAAACTAGAGAAATTCAGTTCCTCACTGTTGTCGCTGCTACAAGAGATCGGAAGAATGTTCACAAGGCTTGCCCAAGCATCCCACGATTGGGACACTCGTGAGCTAAATGTCGTGCTGCTTCCTGACGGAACCGCGGAGTTCACTGCGTTGCCTGCCTGGGCCTGGGAATATGTCGGCCTTGCCAGTGAAGAGTGCTCCGCAGTGTCTTGGACAGCGGCGGTGCTCGAAGAACACCTCTCACAGCTGGCCATGGCGCGCAGTATGCATGAGTACCACAAGCGGGGGGGGGGATGGCTGAGCTGCGAGCAGCGCAGGATGCAGTCTCGATAAAGTCACCGATTCCATTGTGCTGCATCCACCTACGGTAGAAGGAAGCAACTGCATCTGCTCTGTAAGGTCGTTCATCACGGTAGCAGTTGCTCGCGCCTTGAAAACTGAATTTTGTTGTGGGATCAACAACGAAACCCGATCGAGCATGAGACTACATGGAAGCTCACGAGACACCAGGACCGAGCTCCCTGCCGATTGCAGCTCTGGCCAAGGACTCGAATTCAACTCATGCAGAAATCTTGCGACTCTACAGTACGGATGCGACAGTATACATCTTTGGAGTGATGCAGATCGACATGCACATACCAAACCCTGTCTGAGGACACTTGAGTTTGATGCTTGCATGGGGGATGTCCTTGTCTGTCAGAGCGAAGCTTCGAGCGAACTGTTGCCCCTCACTGCTCACAATGCCGGCTACATGTCTCCGGTCTCCAATCATGTGCTGCACCTTTTCGACGCCATGTTCGGTTGCACACATTGGCGCAATCCTCAGTGCCTGCGCGGCGTCTCGACGCTTCTGGACTGTGCCCATGACAAAACACAACTACACCAACCTAACCCTGTTTTGTTGAAGGACATCCTCTACTCTACCAATAACCGCCTTGCCGAATTTGCAAGTCCATAGGAAATCCTACAGGTGGTCATGGGAGTTTGCTGGTCTGCTGGGTTTCACTAGACTGGTCTGTGACCAGCCCAATCTGAACAGCTTACATTCCGAATGCTTCCCAGCAAACACATGACCAGGGCCCCGCCAGCATCTCTTCATGCACATTTTGACAGAAGGGTGATGCTGCAGTGGGCGATGGATAAATTAGCAAGCATCTGTGACTCTTTAGTGCCCATGCTTAGCATTCTTGAATCTGCAGTCAAAACAACGACATGGGATTGCTTTCCCAGTAACTGTTATAACAAACTACATCCGCACCTTGCATTTCCCTGCATTTTGCGCTCTCGCAGCTTTCGGAGAACGAGCTGAACAAGGCGTCGCTGGCGACAGTGCCGGTGCCATCCTCAGAGCTCCACAGCCGAGCCATGCCGGTTTTTTGTGCGCGCGCGAAGAGAAAACCGGTACTGAGACCCGTGCTTTCGGGCGCATGCGATCTGCCACACCTCGACACGAAAAAAGGGGGTCCAAAAAGATAAAGGGGCGCTTAACCGACACTTCCGAGCTCCAGGCCGGGCCATTGCGGTTCTGCAGCCCGGCCGGGTGCTCGCTGTCTAGTGATAGTGATGGGTCTGATAGCTCTGCCCCGTAAGATAATACGAACCATGTGTTGCCATAGCGGATGCTCCCATCCCTGATCCGCTCTCGCATCCCTTGTCCTCGTGAGCGCAGCACCTGATGAGCGCTTGCGAGAATCCCATGCGTCTCGCTGTCTGCTGTCTTCTAAGGACAGAGCCAAGACTTCTTCTCGGAGGACCACCCTGCTTGCCAATTGGAGAGCCCGGCCAAGCAGTCGAAGGGCTTGGGCGTGGAGTCCGCACAGCCAAGACCGAAGTGAGAACAGCACCTGGGCACAGGCTCTGCTGCTCTGCTTCACTTCAAAAGGAGATTCAGCCCCTCTTGTCGTGCAGCTTCAAAAAAAGTCTCAAACCCTCAAGGACCCACAAGCTTCCCTCGGATCCGCACCATAACTTCTTGTGTGGCGACCAGCCAGCTTCCCAGTTGGCGAGGCCAGCATGACAGTCGAATTGAGCAACGCATCCAGTCCCTTCGTGCTGACAGCACCTCACACCATGGATGTCGACCATTGCATCATGCCCACAGTATGCGACAGGCGAGGCTTCTACCATGATTTCTTGTTCTCCGACCAGCCAGCCTTGCGAGAAGAGCACAGCGGCACCCCTCCGTTTCCGCTTGCCCCTGACAATCACAAGAAGAGAGCCTTCCAGTTGGATAATCCTGCTTGGCAATCGTAGGCTGCATGGTGGACGACGTAGTAGTGAGTGTGAGAGTGGCCGTAGTGGAAGTCGCAGCCTTGTCGGTTGTCCAGGAGCTCTTGGCACATGCGATGTGAATGGACATGTGCCTTTGCCAAGGTGGAAGCAACACCATGCCTTCGCTTAGGACAGCGGATTCAGGTTTAACCCCTGCAAGGCAATGGAAACCGAACGGCGCCTTTTTGTGGGGGGACCACGTCGTTTGCCAGGAACCAAAGCCATGGTCGCAGTGGTACAGCTCTGTCGGAGCTTGGAAGCAAGCCACATCTGGGCACGATCGGCACGTGAATCCGAGGTGGAGAGATGTCGCGAAGCAAATTGACTGCTGCATACTGCTGCAGAGAGTTTCAAGAGCTGGGTCCACGGCGATAGCGTGCACAGCACCATGCTCGCTTATGCTCCGGCCAGCCTGGGAACAGCCCCTCTTGCAGCACCCCAAATTTCTGCATCAATGGAACTCAGCTGCCGACTCAGTCTATTGTCATAGTCTTCATGACAATCGTATGATGGGCCCTCTGTGGTTGTTTCTGTCGTAGGTGTCACCGGCGGCCCATCGAAGGAGCAGATGCCCTGCAAAAGCAATCACAGCCCAGCCTAACTGGACGTCACACGGAGCTGACGGAGTCTTGAACAAGCTCTCTCAGCCTGCATGTTGCAGCAATACTGGCGCTTTGTTGTAAGCCAGTACCTCTCATGTTCCTACATGCTGCTTGCTTCTGACTCTACACTTCTGACTTGAGTCGTTGGCTTTGAACGCACTTCCTGGAAAAGAGTCCCGATGTCACCTGGTATAGGAGACACAACCGCCGCCTACCCCGCAAGTGACCAGAACGTACCCGGCTGGGTGCAAGACTGGACGAGGTGCTGGCAACCTTGCATTTTTCGCAGCTGTCTCTGCAACGGAACCCACTCAGAGAGCTCTCATCTCCGATCTGAGGGCTGGAACAGTGGCAAGGCCAGTCTGGAACTCGGCACCTCTTAGGAGCAGGAAGCCCGCCCCCATGCAGCTCTCACCATCTCTGAGACGCACACGCGTCAGCGCACCGTCGCCGTTTGCATCGGCAGTGAAGAGCTTTTGCCCGAGACTGTCCTTGAAGGACCTGGCATGCGGCAACAAAAATACCAGCTGCCCTGCAAGCTCCTCGCCACTCGAGGCCATGACCCATCTCGCTGGAGGGTTCCGAGTTCCGACTTGGTAACCAGCTCGTCCTGAGCGAGAAGCAGCGGGAAACCAGAGTTCAGACTGGAGACCAACCAATGCCCCCGATGGCAGGCCTTTTGTCGGTGCGTCACACACCAAACGTGAGAAGGTCGGCACGACTTTGCGCGGATACCTAAACCTACAAGTTGACCCTCTTGCGTTTCAGCTTCGCTCGTTTGTACGTGTCTGGCGGACAGGCGCCATCTGCTTCGAAGCAAAGGACAGCCGGCTTGATGCTGCCTCACCGTTTGTGGACAAGGCCCGAGTGCGCTCCATCTCGCTAAGCCTGTCAAAGACCGGACATGGGCAAAGCAAAGGCTGCGAGTTTTCTGGCCGTGCCTTGTCATAGTTGAAGCTGTCTGGAGCAGGACTCGCTGGAAGCTCTTGACGGAGACTTTACAGTTTGGACATCTCACATCCGGGTGGAGGGAGCCATCCGGCAAAGCATAGCGGAGTGAGCATCTGTAACAGATGAGCAGATGGCCACAGGGAAGACACATCGTGTTCGCAGCGACTTCCCGACAAAGCAGGCAGCTGCCGGTCGCAAGGCCCTCAGGGCCCGCAGGGCCAAGGACATGCCTGGCTTGCGCCTGCGATGCGTGCCTGGCTCTGGGATCTGAGAGCACCCGGGGCAGCTCTTGGAACTCCGCTTCACGTTTCAGGCAGCAAGTGCATGCACGCTGGCCCATCTCAGCATGGCGTGGTCACGGCAACAATGGGTCACCCTGAGACTGAGAGCCACTGCAGCAATTCGCCCTCATCTCTGCTTGCATGCGTCTGAACAGCACCAGCCAGGACTTTGACTGCTTCATGTCTGGTTCAGTGCCCATGACCCATGAGTGCCCCACCCCATTTTTGTCTGCGAGGATCCAGGCCTCATGAGTGGAGGCTGGAGGGGTTGCCGAAAAACGGAGCTCTTGGGCTCGCGCTCCATTGCACCATCGGTCTGGGTCCGGTGTTCCGGGACCTCCCACTAGCAGCGCCTCAGAGCCGGACTTGAGCTGGCGAGCTCTCAAAACGTGCAATCGTGCGGTCAGTGCGACCTGCACGTAAGCGTCGTTATCCATCATTGCGGCGTCCTCATTGCAGATCTCTCGTTGCTTCAGGCTGCCAGGCTGCGAGAGCTCTGCGAAGCGTGCGCCGGGCAAGCTTCTCAGTCACGAACTGTTTCGTTCAGGGCAACGATCGCTGCGCCAGAGAACAGGTTCTCCGAGTGCCACCTTCGAAAGCAGGGGCGTCTGCACCCGGCTTCTCCTTGCAGAAGTCCTTGCCATTTCTTGAGGCAATCACAGCGGAAGGCTAGAGAGCGGCAGGTAGCCGTCAGCATCCACATCGAGTGCCGCCCACCTGAAACACGGCTCCCTTCTGCTCGTCGGTAGGGTGCCCCCTCTCTCTCTCCGTAGGGCCGTAGGGTGCCCTAGCACCGTAAAATCCTCTGGGTCTCCGAACGACTCGAGGATGAGGGCGGCTCCTGAGCAGAACCGCGGAAGCGCTTGAAAGCCCGACGGGTGCCGATTTGCTTTCGCGCCTGCGGCCTCCGGACCCGAAGCCGGATACTGACAGATCCGCACTGGCCTGAGGAAGAGGCGGAAGAGGGCTCGGGCCGCTAATTAGGGCGCTAGGGCGGTGCTCTCCATGCTCTCCTCTCTGCAACTCCGGGCGGCCGACTGGAAATGCACGTCTGCTGAACCCGGCACGGAGTGGTGAGTTCTGCCCACAAAGGCTTCAAAAGAAGCGCATCAGGTGGTCCAAGGAATGACAGTCAGCAGGACCTGAAGAACAGCAACCAAAGCAGCAGCGGGACCTGGGTCGCGAGTGCTGATGACATACCATAGCATAACTGTTGGCCATTTCGCCAATCAGGTCTTTTGCAATTCAAGCTGAGCTTCTGGCCAGAAAGAACAAGCAAATGCAGCCACCAAAGCCGAAAAAAAGCCTGTTCTCTTGCGTCACATACTGTTTACACACATACTTTCCCTCAGAAGATCTCCTGCAGTTCCCCCGCGACGAAGGGATGCGCTCCTTGATGAAGTCACCTTTGCCTTCCCCAACCTGACGTTAATGGAATGATCAAAGGCCGATGCGGAGACCCAGAAGGATGCAGTGCCATCTTGCTTGCAACATACTCAGGCCCGGTCAAACTCGAGCTGTTTGCTTTGTGCCCAGTTGCCTCTTCCTGCCACTTCTTTTTTGGACGAAACTCAGAGCTCTGGGGTACTGGGGCGCTGCATGCCTTCACCCACGTAGGTCCAGTTGAGGGGTCGTCCCTCTCCTTCGACCTCTTCGTCCTCGAAGCATTCACACCTGGAGGGCTGGCAGTCGAGCGCCAAAAAAAAGGTTCACACGAAAAATCGCTGCCATCGCTAAGGTTGTGGCGCAGACATTATCCTGGACAAGCAAAGAAGGCATTCCTATTTACGGAGGATTCAGCCATCAAGCCGCCCTAGCGGGCCTTCGCAGATTGCCGCTTGCAACCCTGGCCCCGGCGATGTCAGCCGTGCCGCTTGAGCAGCATGAGTTATGAGGCGATTAGCACAAGCAACAGCTATCGGCATGCAACGAGAATGCAGCTAGCTTGCGGCCTGATGCCTCGCAGGCTGGCAAGCATGTAATGTGCCCGGTAGTCTTTGGTTGCTTGCAGCTTTGTGCATGCAACCCTAAAAAAAGTGCCTTTCGCACTTATGCCCTATCCCTCATCTGGAGCACAGGCCGGGCACATTGCCTGAAACTCCTCGAGTTGCTGCTGGTCGAAGATACAAAGGCTGATCTTCGTCCCAGTGCGCAATAGACGTCTCTGACTCGCCGGAGGCAAGGATCGAAACGCACCATCCAAGGAGGCAAATGTCATGGCAGGCAAATCCTTTTGAAACGGTCCTGCGAATATGCCCCCGGACACAGGAAGCAAACGAAGCCGTAGGGATTCGGAGGAAAGGAACTCTTCCAGAATGTGCCTATACGCGACAGTAAGCTTGTCCACTGCACTTGCACGCGTGGCAGGAGTGGACGTAGACACGACTCCAAGATCTGGGCCCACGACATGGATGACCTGCTTTTGACCGTACGTGTGTATTTTAGCATCGCCTTCCTGCAGCACGGCCTGTGTCACATCGTGCGGAAAGCGCGCATCCAATCCAATCTTCAGCCACGAGTAGATTGCACCCGAAGCCCCTCCTGCACCTGCTGGGCCAAGGTCTTGAATGAATCGCAGCCCAGCTGGATCAACCACCACCGTGTCTGCAGCAGGCGCTCCTGCCACCGGCACAAGATGATGCGAAACGTCCAGCTGCACACCGAGGACTCCATAGGGAACTACGGCCACCTTTGGCAGCAAGGAAGACGAGGCCAAAGCAGTGGCGGCTAGAGGAGAAGGCCGAGAAGGCGAGACTGCTCCGAGCTTCGAAACGAGGCAAAGCCCGAGGCAAAGCGCGAGCCAAAGCCCGAGGCACCGGGCGGCTGCATGGATGCGGAGGAACTGCAAGCGGCTTGCCAGAAGCGGCGGTTCAAGCTCCGAGCCGTCGGTCTCCATCTGGGCCATGCTGAGCCGAAACACTGCAGAGCCCATAAGACCCAAAAAAGGCACCCCCTTTGCTTCACCTGGCTCCTCAGCTCGGCCTCTTTCACAGCTCTAGCCCGCGGCGTCTCAGCGTCTTTAGCTCAGCTCTTGTGGCTCGCTGGCAGCGTGGGAAATCTGAGAAATCGCAGGCAGCACCGGAGCTGCTGGAGCCTGGACGAACCCATTGTCGGGATAGGAATCAGCTGCACCCGGTACAGCATAACGGCGTAACCCCCTAGCCTGCTGACTGCTCTGTCTCTGCGTTGAAGCTACTCAACTTTGACTGCTCAACGAAGGTCTCATAGTCCCTGCACACCCTTGGCTTCCGACCGCAGTGACCGGAGGGGCGGATGAGCCACCGAAGATATCCATGACCTGACGCTGAGAAAGTTCAGCTTAGAGGAGGAGGATGACCTGCGAACTACCACCTCTTCGGTGCAACCAATGGACAAGACATGGAAATGGGCATGACTTCCCGAAACCCCCGTAACGCAAGGCTCAGGCCTTTGGCCTTGGGATTCTGCACTTTGAACATGTGGCTGAGTCGTCCGACGCGACGGAAAACGGTCGACACCACGCTGCATATGCTGACAGTAACACACATCTTGAACCCAGTGTTCAGCGTTGCCCGAAGCATGTACTATACCCGACCGATCCGAAGATTGTCTTGCTTATCTGGATTCAAGATTGGGCACACAAACGCTCCCGGACCTTCTGAGCTTCATCGATGACCTTCTTTGCATTCACCTTCTGCTTCTGGGCAGCCTGTGATCCAGGCACTAGAGGTGGATGTCTATTCCGTCTGGTCCGTAACCAAAATAAGGTCTTCCAGGTTCGATGCTTCGGCTGCGCAGTCTCGCTTAAGGAGTTGCAATGGCTTCTTGGATGCTTGCAGATGCACGATGCCCCAGGCCCACGTGACCAGGGGAAGTGGCCATAGCCCCGATGTAGGATGATTCGACCACGCGGGCGAGCCTTCACCTGCTCCAAAGCCAGTCTGGCCGCAGTCTGCTGAGCAGTCTCCTGCGTAAACTCGGAACTAGAATCCAGACGTGTCTTGCAGGACATACTTGCCGGGCTTACCGCAGAACCGCACAGCAGAGGGAATCCGTGCGAACACACGTTGCATTGACCTGTTCTCCGTAGAAATGACACAAGCCCCTCCACCTCTCCCAGTTCAAGATCACGTCTCTTCGATTCCGCAGGGGGATAAGCTTCGTTCAAGCAATCCCTGGTCGGAGCTTGTCCCATAGGAGTTCCAGCCAGGCACCGTCTCTGGCACCGCACTCAAGATTTCTCACCGAACCGTTCATGAGGCGGAGGAACTTTTTTGTTAAGAAGGTTTGGCCAAAAGGTGTTGTTTGGAAGGTTTGGCCGAGGGGTCCGTTGAGTTTGATTTGCTGCAAGCTGTTGGGGAAGGCCCCTTCTATAGGGCCTTCCTCTGCAGCAAGCTGTTGGAGAAATTTCATTTGTGGGGTGTTCATCAGCAGCAGGAGGGGAAGAGCCATTTCTGGGCCGTCTTTAGTTTGAAGCTGTTGGGAAATTACCATTTGCAGAGCTTCTTCTGCGTCGAAAGTGGTCGGGAATTCCAAGTTGAAAGCCTTCGTTTTGCGCGAAGCTATTCGGGGATTTCGATTGCGCAGTGTTGTTTTGCTTGAAGCCGTTGAGGAAAGCTATTGGGAAACACAATTTTAACGGCTTGATTTCGCATCAAGCTGTTGGGGAATTACAGTTTCCACGGCCTCGTTTTGTGCCAAAAGCTGGTCGGGAATGTCGGTTCGTAAAATATTCCAAGCTTTTTTGATTGCTTTCCAATATTTGAATAAGAAAATCACAACTTTGCTCCCATTTTAAATTAGCGTAATTACTAGTACTGATAAGCGCAGCCCCAACCGGTTTCCAAACAGAATGCCACTATGATGGGATTTGAAAGTTCTGTAAGAACTATGTAACTATGTGCTTGAAACAAGTCTTGTTGATGGTATGATGTTCTTGAAAGCAAGTCTGCACGGCGTTCAACAGGAAGCGGGGTCCCCCATTTGCAAACACAACGTCTTTCTCACTCTTTGTGAGAGGGTCCACATGTGTCTTTGCTGGCAAGATGATACTGGAAGCGATCTTGCACAGCTTAAACACCGTGCGGGAGTTAGGGTGGAGGAAACTCCCCATGTGCAAGCAGAATGCCTGTAGGATGGGTTTTGAAAAGTTCTGCAAGAACTATGTGCTTGAAACAAGTATTGTTGATGGTGCGATGTTCTCGAAAGCAAGCCTGCGCGGCGTAAAAAGAAAGCGGGGCGTTGGGGGGGGGTGGGGGGCAGGCCCCCCTTTTGCAAACACAACGTCTCTATCATGGGCTCTGAAAGGGCTCATATGGGTTCTGTCTTTGATGTCAAAATGATACTTGAAGCCAGCCTGCACAGCTAAAAGCAGCGGGGCGCAGCCAGCCGGAATTGCAAACAGAATGTCCGTATGATGGGTATTCAAAAGTTATATAAGACCTCTGTGCTTGACACAATGCTCGTTGATGGCACGATGTTCTTGAAAGCCAGCCTGCACGGCCGCAGCCTGCCCAATCATTTGCAACTGCATCACGGGTTCTGAAAGGGTCAATAGGGGCTCTGTTTCTGCTGACATGATGTTATTTGAAGTGTTGACACTTCTTCTTCTATTCTGAAAAGCAAGCTTGCACTGCACAAGAAGAAAGCGGGGCGGCTTAACGAGCACGGCGGTGGTATTACTAGTAAACGTAGGACTATTGTAATTCCATAGTAAGCATGGTTATCATAAAAATAATAGCAATAATCTATCAATTATATATCAGTAGTCAGTAGTACTCATGAAACTAACCAAAATACCAAGAAGTATATAACAGTAGGCCAGCGGACCAGGGGGGCAGGGACCAAGACCAGGAGGACCAGGCCAGGGCCCGCGGAACAGGACGGGGACAAAGGGACCAAGGGACCAGAGGACCAGGAGACCACAGGCCGAACCAGGGCTTGGCCAAACCTTTCCATAAGCCAAGCTTGGCCAAGCCTTCTTTAGAAAAAACCCTGGACCCCCGTTCATGGACACCTCCTGTCTGCGAGTTGCACAAGGGGACAGGCACTTCGGTCGGGCATTCGGATCCACAAAGCGAAGTCATAGCAAGGAGAAGATTTGAGCAACGCATCGCAATGCGTTGGCAATGTCTTGTTACATCTTGTCAATCTTGTCTCTCTCACAGCATCTTCGCCTCCGCAATTCCGGTGATGGTTGGAGCCTTCAGAAACATGCCCTTCATCGTTGTGGTCCCAGTCTGTCGAGACGGTTTCCCTCAAGAATTCGAAGGAAGCATAACAAAACCCAAAACAAGCTGAGACAAGATACCGGACACAAAGCATGAAAACACTCAGATTAGCAAATCTATGCTGCGAGTCCTCGCTTGAAGCCTGCTCCAGAGCTGTGCGGGCGTCCGTGAGTGCCTTCCCCAAGATGTTCACAGCGTCCTTGTGCGAGGCTAACAGGAGCTTGAGACAGCTTGAGCCGGTTCCCAAAATTGCGTTCCCGATGGTTCCGGACCTCATACGCATGCACATGACTTGTTGAAATCTGCAAGCATTGGCCGTGATGCCATCAGGGTTTACTACAAGATGGGTACGCATGTACGCAAGACCTTCAACACTCCATAAGATCGACACTGCTGAACACCAAGCTGTTGCGAAAGGGAGCACACTTGGTGGGCCACCTTGACTGCGCTCTTGGGCCCAGATGCGTGACCGTCCTTGTCCCAGATTTCCCCCTTTTCTCGGGTTCAAAAGGGAGTCCTGGCGCTTGGAGGCGATCTGGCTCTCCAAGTTTGAAAGCATCGCCTTCGTGGACTCCACCTACAAAGAGACCGCATGAGAAAAGACGTAGAAGCGTCTGAGAATTCCCGGCGTTTTGCCGTGACGGCGGAACTACCCAGAGATGCCTGCTGCTGCAGCACGCTCTTGTCCAAGCCAGTCTGGCCGGCCTTGAGCAGGGCCTGCGCCCGCGAGCATGCCATCGATAGCAGGCGTCCCTGCCTCGATGATCCACATGCATGCGAGAACAGAACGAGAACAACAGGTCCTGAAGTTGTGCTCTGCTTCAGACACCACCAGCTGGTCTCTAGTTCACTAATCGGGGCTCTCATGACTCAATGGCTAACGCACGCTGAAAGATACGTTTGTCGCTGTTGGGCCGAGTGTTATGCTTTGAATCGCTTTGAGCATTTAGGAGCAGCTACAAGTGCCAGATTCCACGCAGGCCTCCTGGTCTTCCAGCAGCTTCGTTTCAGAGTCGTGGGTTTTCTGGAGCTCATCCAATGGTGCTTTGTGAGCCGCCGCCTTGCGAACGTCATCAACGATGGCAGGCAAAGCCTGCTGCGCATCGCTGTCGAAAATGGCCAAGGACTGGCTGGGCACTGCATGTTGGGGCTCTTGCTGAGTGACTGTGGCTGTGCTTGGTTGGCTGGGTTGGGAAACAGGTGGCAGGCTGAGCTGCACAAGCTGTGCTGCTGGCAGAGCAGGCAGAGCACTTGCCGTGGAGTTCACAGCGGCTGAAGCTTTGTGCTTCTTGTGGTGGTGCTTGTGATGCTTGTGCTTGTGCCGGTGTTGGGATGCACCTCCAAGAACGTCCAAACCTTCAGCTCAATTCAATTGGACACTAAGGCTCGCAACCAACGAGACGCCTTGAACGCAAGCTGCAAAAAGCGCGAGCGCAGACACACGGGCAATCAAGAAGCTCATGGCTTCAATGCCACAGCTATTCTACGTTGGGATTCAAGGTTTCCCCTCGAAGCTGGCTGCAGAATCGCACGAAAACATGAGTCGCAGGTACAGAAATTAGCGACCTTGCATGAGGCATTCGGTTGCCTGCATGTCTTCAGAGCAATTTTGTTTCCACAAGCAAGGCGCTGACGCCCCGTTCACACAGCAGGCAGCGTGTCGACCACCTCAACACACGGCCACACAGCATGAATCGCTTCCTGACACGCCACCTAGCCACACGTGGCGCTGTCGATTTCACGCGAGGCTCGCGCTTCCTCCTCCTGGCCAGCCGAGCTGTCCCCAAGGAATTTCAGGATCACCTGCACTTCAAGCTGGCGTGACAACTTGCACTTCGAGTTGGGTCTCGGCCTCGAGGGCATCGCCCTCCACTGCAGCATCCTTGCAGGAAGAGATGCACACAGAGTAGGTTGCATGTTTTGGAAGGGAAGGACAGGAAGTCCTGTGCTGCACTCAAGAAGATGCGGCGTCCAGCAAAGGCCTCCTGAGCGGACTCGACTGCACTCCCCTCAAGACCCACGGCCCCACAGCCCAGAACTCTTGCTGCTATGTGTGACTCTTACACAGTGGAGCTTGAACCTTGATCGAACCTCTTGTGCAACAGCAGCTCAAGACTCAAGACACAGCCCAGGGTCCAAGAAGCTGAACGTGTGGTAGAAAACACATCGCCTGGTCCCTGCCTGCATTTTCATATGCAGTCGAAACAATGCCGATTACATGCCGAGAGGGGATGTAACCGCCTGGAGGGAGAATCTGCAAGACGAGCCGGGGGCTGCCCCAACAAACAAGGCCAGCGGCTGCAGCGCAAGCGGCCTGCAAGGAAGGGCCGCGATGGAACCTTCAGAGTGCCGCTGGATTAAACCCTACGCCTCCACGGAGGCGGTCGTGGCTCCACCTGGCATCTGGCGTTCAAGCCGCCAAGAAGTCCCCAAAAGCCGGAAACTCAGCAAACCGACCAAGTCCTCAGAATCGGGAGATGGGCAGAAACCCACGAGCCTCGCAAGAAGAGAACTATAGCAGCAGTGAGCATGATGATGGGTTCCAAGGCTGGGTCAGCTTCATGGAGGGGCATCCCTCCAAAGCCAGTTGCTCGGACACCTCCGAGAAGGAAGGCGGAGCAGAACATGAAAAGACAGCTTCAGATGGATTTGGCATTTAAGCTTTCGGCATACGCCGCCGGGCCGAATTCCTGCTTGCCGGACCAATTCTCGATGCGCCAGGTCTTGGCTTCGCGCGCAGGGGGGCCAGTGCGAGCCGCTGGTCCTCGCTAGCGAATCCGAGCCGCCCGCCACCTCGCATGGATCCGGCGATCGGCAAAGGCGGAAGGCAGCTGGCACCTCCAACCTCGGGACCGTCCGCTCATCGTGCCGCGCATCGTGATGTTCGGTTTGCACTCCCGTAAGGTGGACGCAAAGTAACTTGCAACCACACCTGAATGGAAAGCATCCAGCACGAGCGCTGGCCCAGCACCACGGAAGCACTAACAGCAAGCGCTTAAGGCTTGTGCTCCGTTGCTTGCTTGGCCTCCTGCACAACATAAAACACCCCACCAACAATCCCAGAACCAGCACGCCAGCGCAGTTCCTACTGCAGCGGTTAGATCTCCAAAGTCTGCACTTCCCCACTGTGGACCTCCAGCTAAATGCACACCTTCCAGCTTCAAGGGCGCGGCTAGGCTTTTCTGCGGGCCAGCTGCAGTGTGCAAAATCGTGATGCAGCACCTCAGGCTGGGTAGAATGATGACCGAGCGATCAATCCCATGTAATCGAGCAGCATACCCATGCAAACGAACTACCTTGGAAGCAAACACACACACACACAATGCAATAGGCATCATTGATAAACAACGAAGGTCTTAAGTCTGTCAGGGCTGGGCCACAACCTTTCCTTTCCTTTGGCTGCCTATGCTCTGGCCCTGTTCAACACTCCTTTCGATCTTACGCGATGCTTGGCAATCGCGTAAGCTCGTTCGACCTGGCCAGGGCCTCTCTGGTCTGTCGGCGAATTTCGAAAGCTAATTTTAATGCAGAGGGTGGGTCGCTCTGTAGCAAAACTCCACGGCAAGCTGGTTTCGGACACCAACTGCCACATCACTAGCTGCTCAGGGGAGGCCCACCACAACTGCATTTACACCGGCCACGCCTTGCCTTGCCTCGCTGGCTCTGCAAGGCCCAACCATGCCCCACCCGCATCAGTGGGTTCTGCAGCTCATGGCTAACAAAAGCCTCCTCAGCATGACGTGCCTGCACCACACGCACTTCTCATGGCGACATCGTCGAGCTTCGCCATAAGCTCCTTGGCCTCCTCCTCCCGCTTCGATGCGTCTGCTGCCCATTGCCTAAACATGCAGTTCGTTGTCCACGCTTTCAGCGCCTCAGCATGATCAAGTTCGCCGGGTGAACTGGCTGCATCGGTCAGAATTATCACAATATCAAAGTCGTCAGGGTCCAAATCCTCTAGCTCCTGCACCTCAGTAATGTCGCCTTGTGCCTCTTCCTGTGCAGGCGGGCTTCTTTGCTCGCAAAACACTGCGGCTGCCACTCCTATTGAACGATCGCCCCGACAGGAGAATAGGACAGAGGCCGCTCGTTGTGCAGCACTGGACGACTCACTGATGATCACTGCATTGTGCAGGAACTGCGGCCCATAGGTGTCGTCAGACAAGTTTTGGAAAACATTTGGCATGGTCCTACCTGGCAAGCTTAAGCACAAAGTGGCTGCGTCGTGCGAATTCTCCCAGCTGCACAAAAGAAGACTGCTGCGGGCTTAGGTCTCTCTCTCTCTCTCTCAGGCGAGCTTGGTCTGCCACTCTGCATAATCGCCCTGCCCCAAGCTCGAAGGTAATGGCCTCCGCAGCGGAAGACGGTGCGGAAAACCGGCGCAAAAGCGATGGAGCTTACAGGCGCTCCATGGAGGAATCCATGTCGGTTTCCGCGATCAGGTAAAGGGAGCATCCACCCCTTGGGCGGGTTCACGGGGTTTAGGATTTTGGTGTTTAGGGAAGTTTAGGGTTTAGGGGTTCAGCTTCCACTTCTCAGGCAGGCGTCGCCCCCTCCCACGCTGTGCATGTTCATGCGTGCCTGTTCTGTGGCCCCGGCTCGCGAGGGCAAAGAGCATTTCCCGCAGGAAACCATCGAACTTGCATTTTCAATTCCGACCTGCCGAAGCGAAGCCGGCCCCTACTAGGCCCTGCATTACATGTCTGCACCGGCGCCTGTCTGATCCTGTGGGGGCCAGGAAGATCTCAGCCGAGAGATGAAACAGCGGTCTCTACAAAGGCTGGCAAATTTGATGCCAAGTAACAGGACTCCGGAAACTGCCTTCTTCAACGCCTGAGCGGCGAGGCACAGTCCATTGCAAAGTGGTTGAGCCTCAAGCTGCTCGGCTGCTGACAGACACCCAGCCGAAGCCCCAACAGCTTTCCTTGCAGGCGCGGCGATCACCGAGTATAAAGAGCTGCCATGTGGCGTCCTTCGGGCAACTCGTCCTCAGGGATATCCTCCTTAAGTCGCGTCTTTTCTGGTTCGGAACCCGACTAGCATATACAAGAGGATCCACAAAGCTTGGTGTCCTGCCGACACGTCTATGTCTGTCGGGGCATGCCACCAGATGGAAGCGTGTCGGGGCAACCAACGTAGATCAACTGTCCAGTGCAACAATGAAGTGCCTCAAGAAAGCCCACTCCTAGTGGTACAAGCTCCTGCCTTCATGTAATGTTGTCGGCACTTCGACGCATTGGACCGCCTCACTCTTAGAGCATCGTCCCAGCATCACAGACCAAAAGGGCACAGGCTGGAGCCTCCAAGTCCAGCTTCTTCAAGCCTGCACTGGGCCATCTGAGCCGATGCATCTTTTCTCGTCGTTTTTGTCGTCTAAGTCGCTTTCGCAAGCATTGCTATAACATGGCGATCCATGAGGCTGCCAGACGCACCCGAATTGCCCAAAACCCCACTGCAAAACGAAGTCAATGCGGCATGCGCACACATGCACCCCAGGGCAATATTGGATGTCGCTCGTATCCCGCCGCGTTTCTGGTTTTGCACTGTCCAATCAGTCCAATCAGGAGACATCGGACGTAGCCTACCTCTGCAGGCATTAAACGCTGGGAGAAGAAGCCAATGGGTTTATGTTACAACAACAGAAGAGTTTGACTAGGAGATACTGCTGCAATGAAAGAGAGACACGCGCACTGGACTCTCGAAGACTCTTCGCCAACGCTCTATGGCAGCGGGGCTGCAATGAATTTTTAGGTCCACCACGCGAGCATAATTGGACTCAACAGGGTGAATCCAAAAAGTTGGGAGAACAACAACTCAGAAGTGCAGTTCCAGAAGTGCGGGGAAATAGCGAAGCTCGTCACAAGCAAGATTTGGCCGCAATGTGGAAGATGGCCGATGCACGGCTGTGGCTGTAGAAGTCCACAATCGGAACACCCATGCCCAACATGTACGTCTCTGGATTTAAACACAAGATGTACAGTGTCTTTGCGACAAGCGCTGAACCAGAAAGTGCCTCCATCCTTGCACAGAGCGCGACCGGACCTTCAGGACAAGGCTGTCAGAACATCACGGGCTGAGAAGTTCGGACCCATGAGCGCAACGCACATTCGGAAATCGCCAACGAAAGTCGCACGGATCCTCCACAGCCAATTCAACCAGTCTTCAGCTGCCACACTTGCACAGGATCTGCTGACCTGAATGGAGCGGCCTTTCAGTCCTGCGAACACCAGGACTCTCTCCGAACGCATCGAACAATCGGGAATCTCGCCTTCAACTGCAAACACGACAGTTCGACAGCTAGCCAATACCTGCATCATGTGGACGAATCGCGTTGCAACTGACACAACTGACCCTCCATCGATGACAAGCCTGGATGATGTCGCAGGACCATAAGAACTTGGCCCACCTCAGCTCCGACGACACAACGGCGTGTGCAGTTTAATTCCAAAATCTAGAACGTAGGAATTCAACCAGACAACAGGGTGCGGTCTTGGCAAGCAACGATTCATGGACAGCGGTCAACCTCGGCCGACAATCCAAATGTTGAGACCAAAACGAACAGCCTGACAGGTGAGAGATAAGATGTGGACACAGATGCCAAGTTCACCAGTTCCGCCATGCATGTCGGACATGTTTCTTCCACAATGCTCAATGCAACACAACCTAACTCAAAATTGCCTTCGTCCTTTTGCTTCGTGTACACCAAATGTTGGTTGGTTAATGGCTGACAACGCCGGGGGGGTGGAGCCAAATAACATACAGCACGCATCGCGTGAGGTAACAGGGCCGCAGCAACACATAAAGTCGAAAGTCTCACTCGGCGGAGACAAGACCTGCTGCAAAACGCAGGAAGCCGTGGCTTCACCATTTGTCACCGAAAACACGGGAGCACTCGTTTCGATCCCTCCGATGGGCTGATACAAGATTCGGCTGCACGCCACCGGCTGTGGCCATACCCACTTGTTGTTCTTCCACACATACGCACACACACACACAACTTTTTAAGACAGTGCGGGAGGTACTCGCTCCAGTCAAAGCCTGTCACTGGAGGAGCGGAGCCGACCTGCATCGTGCAGCTTGGGCACCTTGGACCAGAAAGAACGAAGCAATTCGCAACTCTAAACCCTCTCAGTTCCGGATTCTGGACGGTGATGACCATCGTCTCTGCTGTCATCATCCTGTCAACACTCCACCAGGTGATTTCGCAGAAGACAAAAAGCAGTGCTGGTCTGGTCCTTGCAAGCCAACGGATACCCAGACAGTCTGGGTCTGGGAGAGAATGGCTGCATTCACATACATGACAAACACTGCCTGTTCTGCACACAAGTTCAAAAATGCTTATTACATCTTATTACCACTCTGCAACCTTGCTGCTTTTGAAGCTTTTGCCAGCACGAGCTCCGTCGACGAAGACAGGACCGTAAGGCTGGATTCTTTGCTTTAAGTTGGGACCATACCCAAGGACTTTTGCAAATACAACCAGCCAATGATTTAATGCATGGAACGTTATGAAAACGACATCGAGATGTTGTTTGCTGCAAAGCATCCAGTTGGATCCAAGACTGTCAACGAACGAGCAACTAAGTCTCTTTGTCAGTCATCTATTAACCTTTCAGCGAAGGAATTTTGCCATCGCCCTCCTCCTGAACTGCCGGTCGTTCACTCTGCTGTAACACGAGTCACAAGAGTCCAGATTCCACCCACATGGAATCAACGCAAGAGTTGTTTCACTTCCACTTGCCCTGCTCCGACTCCACACAGCTCAGCTGGCGTTTTGCCCCACTGGTTCCGGGCATATCGGTTGGCCCCTTTTTGCAAAAGCAAAGCAGCCGTACTTGGATAACCGTTGTAAGCGCAAAAGGCCAATGGGGTGATAGCGCCTTGCTTGCTCGCCATGTTGGGATTCGCGCCGGACCACACCAAGAAGTTTGCATTTGCTTGCGATGCCCGGCTGAAGGCTTCGGCCTGCGAGGGTACTCCCCACTGGTTCTTCTGGAACCTCAGCAAGTTCAGTAAGGGAGTGAAGCCTTCGAAGTCATAGATGTTCAAGTTGACCTTCGCATCGACCAAGACCTTCAAGACTCCCAGGAGTTTCTCTTGTCTTCCTGTCCACTGGTCCACTGTGCCGATGGATTGTGGCGTGCGGACAGGATTCTGCCCGGGGTTCAAATGCATGGTAAATTGAGTGGCCAAGCTCAAGGGTTCCTGACCGTAGTCGTCCTTGATGGCAGGATCAGCACCATGCGCAACCAAGACTTGTGCAACTTCGGAATGTGTGTTCCAACATGCGATAGCTAAGGGCGTCTTGCCTTTTTCCCCTTTCTGGTTCACCAAATCAGCGTGGCCAAACTCCAGTAGCGAAGATGCAGCCCTGGCGGAGCCTGCACTGGCCGCATGCCACAAGGCTGTGTTGCCAGCTTTGTCCACGACAGCAGCGTCGGCGCCATGTTGTAACAGCAGCTGGCAATCCTTCCCAACTTGAGCTGCCACAATGAGTGGCGTGGCTCCATTCTGGTCCTGGTGGTTTACATCAGCACCTTTCTCAAGCAACATCCTCAGAAGTGATTCGGGGCCGCTTCCTTCAATGGCTATGAACAGGGCAGTCTTGCCCGAATCGTCCACTTCGTTAACATTTGTGAACGGATTGTCAAGCAAAGCAAACGCAATGGGCACGCAACCATACTTTGCCGCCGAATCAAGAGCGGTCCTTCCTTGATTGTCCTTATGGTCCACATGAATGCCTTTCTCGAGCAAGGATTGCCCTGCATCTGCCATGCATTTTTGGCACGCAACTTGCAAGGCATTCTCTCCTTGCGAGGTCTTGACATTGATGTCGGCACCTTGCTGGATGAATTCCTCTGCCAAAAAGTCGCATCCTCCTGCTAAGGAATTCAAGAGGGGCGTGAAGCCTCCATGATCCTTGGTATTGATGTATGCTCCTGCCTCCATTAAGAGCTGGACCTAAGCCGAGTCGCAAGCTCGGGCGGCGCAATTGATGGGACTTTGCCCGTTGTAGAATGCATTGGGATTCCCGCGGCCAAGTTCCAGCAACATCCTCAACAGCATGTCAGTCGGTTCATTCCCTGATCCGCTTGCATGCAGCTGGTGACAAGCAGCTTCCACCATCATCTTGTCGTCAACACGAGCACCAGCCCACAGCAAACATTCTACCATGTCGGCATGAGCATGGATGGCAAATTCCAGCGGCGAGCTATAGGAATGGCAGTGCGCATGAAGAGTCCCGGGGTGACTTACAGCCAGTTGTTGCACCAAATGCTTCTTGTTGTCCTCCATTGCATGGCACATGACTGTGTCCCAGCTCACAAGCTCCTTGTCATCATTGGAATTGACCTCATGGGACACCTGGCGCCGGTATTGGTCCAAGCCCCAGTAGTCGGACCGATAGTGGAACTCATTCCAAAGACCTGTAGTGCCCCTCGGTTTGGCTTTGATGCCCCAGACCGTCTGCGGCATTGCGACTGAGGCAACACAAAGAAGACCCGCTGCCGCTGCCGCCAACAACACCTTGTTGAAGCACGGCCTGGGGTGCCCCGGCTTCTTTTCCAGCCATGAAGCTGCTTCTTCACCTTCTATCCGCAAGTGCACGGTCTCTTCACTGTCATTGCCGACGGAAAGAAGAGCCATCCTCGAACCTATCTTGAGAAAGGGGCACCTCTGGGTCTTCACAGCCAAACCTGACAAGGAAAGGCAAATACAACGCCATGAACGTGATCAAGAAAATTCAATTTAATGAACAAGGCAATGGCAGTAATACATGTTAGTTTTGGTTGGCCCTTCTTGTAAAACAGGCGTTTGTCGATGTCCAATCCTGTCCCAGCTCATGTTTGTGCTGTCCTTCCACATGTTCCCAAAACGGAGTTCAAAGTTTTTTGGGCGTAAGATAGAACTCCGTACAGTGTCAAGGTGCGGAGCAGTGCAAGGATACACAGTGCATCCGCAGCGCAGATGGTTTGGAAACGAAAACAAAAACACGCAAACATGAAACTCAAACAATTGAAAATTCTGGAGCTTCAACAAAATTCCCCCGGTGCGCTCACGCTCGGAACACATGTGCTTATGAGCCGGCAAGGGCTGTTGTACGTGGCATCCGCAGCATTTTCAAAGGGAGAAAACGGACCAGATCACGCTGGTGCCTAGCAGGATCTGAACATGCGGCTCGTGAAGACATTCGCCGACAGGGCCATAAAGTGCAAGGAACCGAACATCAATGCCACTGCCTGTGCGCAAGACGGCCGAGACAGCCCGGCCTAACGGGTTTTTGGCCAGATCGGTCCAGCTACCTGGGTGGCCTGAGCGTACAACGAGGATTGCTTCGCCTCTCAGCGCGGTTTCCGGCAGAATGCTGACATCAGCCCCCGTTGCGCGCAGCCTTTGACCATGCCACAGTGTGTATTGGAAACTACGGAGCGCAGCTCGCGCTCGATGCCACAATCGTCGGCCCGGTTCAGCCGCAGCCGGGCGCCGACACCCGCCCGGGCGCGGCCGTCCATGCCGCCGCTCCCCGCAAACGGCGACAAACTTACCCCGTGCTCGCGAGCGCGCGACGGGCGCGCCTCGTCGTTATTGGGGTCGAGGTAGGCGGGCGCTTCGGAGCTGAAGCTGCCTCCTTCCTCCGCCACCTGGCACGAGACCGTGCGGCCAGCCTCCCGCCGCCGCTCCGGGCTGCTGCATGTGCAGGATGGGTCCAATGCTGGTCCGGCATCCTCGCTGTCGCCGCCATGCGCGCCTTCGCGGCGTCGTTGC